TCAGCAGCAGCGATCTGGTGATGAGAGCCCGGGATAACGTGTACCACATCGAGTGTTTTCGGTGCTCGGTGTGCAGCAGGCAGCTGCTGCCGGGAGACGAGTTCTCTTTGCGGGAAGACGAGCTGCTGTGCAGGGCGGACCACAGCCTGCTGCTGGAGAGGGGCTCCGCCGGGAGTCCCATCAGCCCCGGACACATCCACTCCAACAGACCGCTGCACCTAGCAGGTAGAGGCTATTATTATTAATAATAATAATAATAATAATAATAATAATAACAACAATAATGATAATAATAATAATAATAATAATAAATGCTTGCCATTTCAAGGAATGCATGGAAGAAAAAAAAATCACATTTAAACAAAAAGTAAAACTGTTTAAAAACTCAAACCGTATGAATTAAAAACAATTAATGAGGCACCACTGTAAGTCTGTCAAGGATTAGTAGGCAATTTTTGATGTGTTGCTACTTTTCCTCAGGAAAATCTCATTGTTGTCGTTAACAGTAATCTGCTCTGTTGCTATTATCTGACTAATCTGGTATTTGACTCACGACTGAGGCAGCGTGTGCGTGTGCAGGCCTATGTGTGTGTGCAGAGCTGTCACCCTGAGGGCGCCTGCCAACACGAAAAGCACAAAGCAAATGTTTGAAGTATGTTCTGCTGCTTCCTGCTTAAATCAAAAATACTTTCCACAGCTCAGTGCAACGACGCAAACCTGCAGACACTGCGTTTGTTCAGAGCTGATTTGGAGAAAAGTAGTCCGCTTTTCTAGGGAGTTACAGTTCAGGATTATTGAAGGTTATAGCCTGACAACAGACAATAATGGAGGAAATAAGTGCGAGTTGCAAAGTGCAGCCTCAAAACATTTCGGATTAGACAAATTATTATGGAACAGAATGTATTTTATTTCAGTTTTTTTTTTTTTTTTGGCTAAAGACAACATGACAACAGCTCCACAATAAACAGGATGGTTTCCCTCTTTGAAGATTCATTTCCTGAGCCCACGATTGAAGATAGATTATTTTACGCATCTTAAAAATTCACGCAGGCTGATAAATGTTTCTGGATTTGAATGCATGAGGCAGAACAGCACCGACCGAGGTGAATGTGAGAAGCTTCCTCGAGGCCTTGCCACTGATGTTTTCCCTCTTCCGCCCTCAGCAGACCCGGTGACGGTGCGGACGAACCCCCGTCCACAAGCAGTCGGAGAAGACGACACGGGTCCGGACGGTGCTGAACGAGAAGCAGCTCCACACGTTGCGGACCTGCTACAACGCCAATCCGAGGCCGGACGCGCTGATGAAGGAGCAGCTGGTGGAGATGACCGGCCTGAGCCCCAGGGTGATCCGGGTCTGGTTCCAGAACAAGCGCTGCAAAGACAAAAAGAAGTCGATCCTCATGAAGCAGCTCCAGCAGCAGCAGCACAGTGATAAGACTGTAAGCATCTTCGTAAGTTTGGCCACTTGATTACTATCAACGATTATTTATTCCTTTCTTTAATCAAATCAAAGTGTTTATTGTCATATGCACATTAAGAAAACATGTGAAATTCTTCTTTTGCTGTCCACACTGAATCCCAAACAATATACAGTCTAAATATAAAATAGATAAATAACAATACAAAATAAAGGCAATTTTAAAAACAGCATGTGAAAAATATAGTAACAACATAATAAAAAAAATATGCTACATCATGTGCAACAGTCAGCAATGAATGTGCAGTTATACATGTGGAAACAGTCAGATGGAATGACATCAGCTTTTTGTTTGTTTTTTATTTACACAATTCAAATCAGAATGAGCCTGGAAGTGAAATCAGTTTAATGTGTTTCCACAAACCATGAAATGCAGAAAGTGGCAAACAGATGCCAACATGAACGTAATCCCACATTTTAACGATGTTTGTAATGAAGATATGAGTTTTGTTGTTTGCCTGCTAGTTCCAGTCTGCTCCTCTAACGTGAGCACAAGCTGTGGCTCTGTAATAAAGAGGAAACCTAGCACAGCCTTCCCGGTTGGCACGAGCACTATTCTGTATTCAAACTTTAAGTCACTGAATAATGAATCAGCTGCTTTGGCTTCAGTTGCTTGACCTGAGAGATAAAGACATCCTCTGTCTGCAAACAGCTTGATCTGCATCCGTGAAGCTTCTCTTGCACTACAGAACAATCAGTTATAATGCATTTAGCATTTATCATAAATGTGAAAAGAAAAGAAAAAAAAATGTCTGATGCCTTTTTGTAAGACAGAGACAAATGATGTTTATGCTGATTTAAAAGTTGTTTTTCGAATGTTGTCAGAATCTGCAGGGCCTCACGGGGACGCCTCTGGTGGCCGGGAGTCCTATCCGACATGAGAGCACCGTGCAGGGCAACCCAGTGGAGGTGCAGACCTACCAGCCTCCGTGGAAGGCCCTGAGCGAGTTCGCCCTGCAGAGCGACCTGGACCAGCCAGCCTTCCAGCAACTGGTGTGTGTGTTCATGGCGCACTGAGTTACATGTGCATCTGTCTATCTGCGCACACATGCATGATCACAAACGGCTAGTCGAATTTTGCTGCATGTATGAATACAGTTAAGCCTCACACACGCACACGCACTGGCAGTCACGCGCATGGCTACTCAGCAGCTCGGCTATAAAACCCAGCTTCAAAATAAAAGTCTATATTCTGACCGTTTCTTCGCCTCTCTTCAGGTGTCTTTCTCTGAATCGGGCTCTCTCGGGAACTCCTCAGGCAGCGACGTGACCTCTTTGTCTTCTCAGTTACCGGACACCCCCAACAGTATGGTACCCAGCCCGGTGGAGACGTGAAACGGGGCCACTCAGATCCGTCGTCTCTCTACTTCTGCAAGGACAGTTGCAGCATGATCCCGGTCCCCTGCATGTGACCAGCTCATCGCATCGCCCAGACTACAGACAGGAATTTTTTAAAAATAATTAATATTTTGATTCCCTGCCTTGGAAGAGATGGAACAAAGGAAACACCGACTGACTCCGAGTTTTCTCTTTTGGAGATTTCACTGACAAATCTAAGCAGAACAATAGTTGCATGACTTGAAACGGAGCCAGATGTACAGAAGACCTCCCGATGGATATACTACAACAAAGCTTCCGTCAGAAACACTATTGAAAACATTCAAATGACATTCTCCAATTTCATTGTCATCATATTGTGTCTTGTTTCTTCAACATGAGAATTTTTTTTGGATACATTTATTGCGTTGTCGAGTCCGGTTGACTCTTTGTCTTAAGGTCAGAGCATGATAATCTGCAAATTATTCGTGTTGTAAAATATTTTAAGGGCAGGATACAGGTTGTTTGAGCTTCTCGAACAAAAAGTAAATTATTGTTATATTATTTATTGTTAGGAAAGCGATTCGTAAAGGGATTATTAACTGATAAAAATAAAAAAGCTGAATACATGAAGTGTCTTCATGACCGATCTTTGTACAGGCACTGCATTCTTTTAACCTCTCAGTGTTATGCATTTGAATCCATTACCGTAATAATTTGATTTAAATGAAAATTAAGCTCCTAAGTTCGTAACAGATGTCCAGCTTTCAGTGCAGACGCAAGGCGAGAAACCAGCTCATTGCGCAAATCTAACTGAACTGTAGTTTTTATGGTGACAGAGTCAAACTCATTGTCCAAATCCAAGCAGGTGACATCCTCGTTCTGATTTGGGAAACAAAGACAACGCTCAGAAAGCGTTAAAAAGTCAAACAAATATTCATTTAATTTGCATCGAATATGTTGTTTGCCCTGTTCAATCAATATCAAGTTGATCTGCCTGGACTGAAGCCTGAAGGCTCTGATGTCTTATCAACCCCCCCTGCGGTGTTTCCCCCTACAGTTATGTAGCAGGGATCGGCCTGTGGTCATTTTACTATCCCGGGGCCAAAAATCTGCTGTAAATTGTGCTCAGTCCAGTTACTCTGGTTGAGTCACAAGCCGGTCTAGACAGCGCGCAAAGATCAGCGACCTCTTATCTAGTCCTGGCATCACCTGCAAGCGATACACTGACTGAAGCCACAACAAACTAACTAATCCCCCCCACACACACGCACACACACACAGACACCCTCCCCTAAGTGAGGGGAGCAGAGAGCAGCTCGTAAAGGGTCACTTCGCCTCCTCGGTTTATTTTCCTTTAGTGAATTGCGTTATTGCGCAGAGGTTAGCCGAGATGACGGAGCAGCCTAAATGAACTAACCTTTACACTGTGTGCAGGACAAAACAAAGCAGTCATGTAAGCACTGAAATCTGTGGAGAAACCAGTGGTCCCTATACGTAAATTATTTTTGATCATGCACAGGAACCATGCTCGCATATCTGTGCTCTGGAGCGTTATTTATCATCCCAGGAGTGAAAAACCAAAGCCAGATCATTTTCCTCGTATTATCTGATGCAGTTTTACCGTTTCTGAGGAATTTCAAGCAAAAAGCATAAAAAAGAAAAAGTGTCTTTAATGACTAAACCTTTAATATTTAATCCTCATGATCGATTTTCATCGGAAACAAATTGAATCGCTACTGCACTGATTTTGGTTTGAACCAAATGACTGGCGGCCTCTTGGTCGGAAGTTTGAATGACAAAAGACAGATAATAGATTTGTAATTGAGCTATTTCAAATACGATAAGCAAACAATGCGAGCAGATTGAGATAACACTGATAAGAGAAGAATAACAATGGCGTTTCCAGACAAGAATGCGGCCCTATTTACTTTCCTCTAGCAGAAAATGACCATGGAGCCATATATGTTTCCAGCATGGACACTGCGTGCAATTGAAAGCGCACACGAAATAAGAAAATGAACAAAAACATGTCATTTAATTATAAAAGTACCCCAAATGTCAGTTTTTAACATTCGTGCAAGAAAATAATGACACAACTGCAAAAGGTGGCGCTTTTAATGTGAAATGTTTTTAATGATTTAAAAGCTTTTCTAGATGTGCAGAAATAAAACCAAAAGCTGCACAGACAAATCAAACATGGGGCAAAAAACTCTTTTAAAGTCAACTGAGGCTCTTTTCTAAAATTCAGGTTCATTTCACGTATTAGCGACTTGAACAGTCACAGTAACGAATGTGAGCTTTCACGGAATGGTAGACAACTTGAAATCCATCTGCGCTTCAGTCATTCCCACTAGTCTGTGTTGCTCCTACGCGCTCACGTCCTCTGGCAGCCACAAAGTGAGCTATACCTGCTGGGCGATCGTCTAACAAGCTGATCAATGTGCGTTTCCCCTCAGTGCGTCAAACATGAACCAAATAAAAACTGGTGATCCTTGTCCGTGGCGCGCGCACACGCACGTGCACACAGG